GTATTTATTCCTCTGTATAAGGCGCTCATAAGACCCCATCTAGAATTCTGCGTCCAAACTTGGGTTCCCTATCAAGGGGAAAGAAAGACAATGTCCCAATCTACGCATAAATAATATTCAAGTACGGGCCGGATCTGAGCTTTGTGCTGCAAACGAGCGCGTGCGTTATTGTCTATTTTAATTTTATTTTCATCTTAGAACTTTGAAGGAAAAACCGGCAAAATTGATCCTGAGGCTTGAAGTGACGAGCTACATGACAGTACATTCCACCTTTGAAGCACGTTGCGACCATGACGTTTCGCGAAATGCAGAGCATTCTCAAGCAACCAGTGTTGATTGATAGCGTTAGGTGGGGTTACTTCAGACTTTTCAGTCGACTCGTTTTGAAAGGTGGTTGGACAAGCTATTGGCATGTATTAGCCTAACCTTGGCTATCATGCGTTTGGATTCAAGAGGAATGCGTCAACACAATTGGTGCTCTTTTATCTGCATTGATGTATATTACGTGACGTTTTCACTAAGCTATAATTCACATGAGACAGGAATAGTCTTCTACTTTGAATTCTTTATATTGCTATGCACACAGACATTAATATACTGACAACTTCTTATCTGCATTTCAGTTGGATATGGGTTTCCACCAGCGCAAAACTAGCGCTTGAGATCTTCATTGGTTTATTCATTCATTCATCCGTTTATCGAAGTTCGCGTGTGGTATGTTCCCTTCTGCCTCGCCAGCATCTGTTGGCCTTGAATCAAAGAGACCCGAAGATGAATCAGGTAGTTTTATGATATAAGTATATAACTTAGTCCCAGATCAATCTTGGTTGTCTGCTTCCACCTATACGGACAAACCTCGTGTACAGTTGAAAGGTAATGTCATTTTCTTCATTGATTATGTGCTATTTCAGAATCTTTTGCGCCACCGGAAAGGATTGAAGATTCGAGAAACCGAAGCCCACCAAAACGTGAGAACAGAAAACCAAAGACTTTCAAGCCGGGAAAGGAAGATATTTTTCTTGAAGATGTACCGGGTCTCTCATTGGATCGTGCTTTCTACGAAGATCGATCTTCCAATCGTGAAATATACCGGCATGGTTGTATTTATGAGAAACAAGTGGCAATGTTCAAACAAAAGCTGAAAGCCAGGATTCTGGGTTTCCAAAATCTCCGAATATGTGACCTCGCGGATACGGAAGGATCGTCGAACAAAAAGACCGGGAAAAAATCACGATATTTCAGCAAATCCAATCGTTCTGCCATTGCGAAACCACCCATTCCCTTGCCTGATGTACCATCAGAGTCAATCAAGGAGGCTTTCGTCCCGGTCATCCCGTTCTCCGAAAGTCATTCCACTTGTCCATCCGGTACGGGTGAGACGTTAACTATGTGTGAAACATTAAACCGTACAGTTTACGACAAACCGAACGACCTGAAATCATGGCTGGATTTGCTCGAGCTTCATGGCAAGGAAGCGTCTTTCTTGCATTTATCCGAGGGCTCCTACGCAAATAGAGATGATCTGAATCCTGGCGATCGACTTGTTGTGATACAAAAACAGTTGGCTATTGCTGAAA